ATGATTAAACGTTTAGGAGTAAAGAAAATGTGTCGAAGAGCAATGAAAGCATATACGTTTCAGGCTAGAGCTTAATTCACAAAAAAGGAAACACCTAAAATATGACGAAGCAATAACTCGCCGTTGCCGGTCACAAGTATTGATGAGAAACGGGAGGGTTGTAAACTGTGGCGAGGTCTTCGTAAAACTTAGCCTTCTGCCCGTCATGGAATTACCGTCGAGAGCCATTATACCGGCTCAGTCGTAGTCCGGGTTACCTAGGGCCGCCCGAGCAGACGATCATATCTGCTTACAATCTTCTGGCAGCCGGGGGCGGATTGGGGCACAGCAGCACGAAGACGGCTGCCGAAAATTGACAAAACGATGACGGATATGAGTCGGCAATGGAGTCGCTACCCGTTCTGAACGTAGGAAGCAGAGAGTGCGATCTCATTAGAGCAAGGCTCCACGGAAACCATATCTACAGTGGGAGTTTGCGGCCGGAAATCGGAACATATCCTCACTCAAAAGGGAAAAGCAGCAGCTAAACTGATTGATCCTCGAAGTAGAAACTCGACATAAGCTCTCGTTAATGAAAGGCAAAAGCTCTAAAATTCTGAACCTTTGCGGGTGGAAGCTATTCTATTCAGGGGTCGACATCACGACCGGCGCTAAGTCCGATCTTGTGTTCCAGAAAAACATAAGCCGGCTAATAGAATCGTTGAATGGAAGCTTATCAACGGAAGAGTAGCAATCCTTTGACTGAGGCAACAACAGGCTAAAGCTTTGACCTTACAGGCCAGTGCGAATAGGACAGAGAATACGAGTCCTTCCTTGAGGAAGTGGAGTGTGAAGTGCCGAGTACAAAGTCCTTCATACTGATGGGCGATTTTAATGCACAAGTCAAAGTAGACGCTGAAAGGAGGAAAGGCGTGATTAGAAAATACGGCCCTAGCGGCCTCAAAATTAACGGCATGAAGTTGTTGCGGTTTTGTACAAACGGTGGACTGTCCATTATGAACACATTCTTCGAGCATGGAAAAGTGCATCAATACACCTGGTACCGGGAAGCTTGTGCACAGAAGTCGATGATCGATCTGATAATCGTATCTTCTGACTTAAGACGCTCAGTAATGGATTTTCGAGTTAAGAGAGGAGCCGAGCATCAATCGATCACCATCTTGTTGTTGGCTCTCCACGCCGTGACAAAAGGAATTATGCGAAGATGTGGTGGCAGAAGCAACCAGAGAATCAAATGGGAAACATCATCTTCAGCGGATTCCAGAAAGATTTGTTTAAACAGCATCGCATGAGAGTTTGAACAGATCCCGGTGATGGCCGTTGATGTT